CTTCACTTGACTTATGCAGAGTGTCTGATCTTAGTACAAGCAACTCCTTCCCTGACTCCTTTGCTCCACAGTGCACGCACAGGGAAAAAAAAAAGAAGTATGAAACTTGCAGGCCAGATCCAGCCAGTGAGATAAGAAAGGTGCAATCATTTTCGGTTTTGTTTCTGAGACTAAAACCGTGAGCTTGCAAAAGCTAAGTTTAAAGACTACGTTTTCTCTCCCCCTATCCTTAGAATTAAGGTTTTGCCTAAAAGGTTTAAGTCACCCAGTGGCAATAGTGATCTAAAGCACCACTGCCACTTCTGAAACACAGTTCTGCATGTACAGAAAACTGAAGTCATTAAGTAGCAGTACTACCGTGGTCCTGCAGCCTAACGCCATTCTGCACACGGCCTTGAATAAACCGGTCCAACTCTGCTACGCTGCTACCACACGTACCATCTCAGCCCCATTCCCTTCCCCGTGGCTAGTACAGTGCTACGCACATAGCTCTGTTCTGTATGGAGAAGAGGAGAGCAAGAGGCCAAAACAGTTTTTTTCCCCTCTTGCCTGAAAAATGCTGTTGCAGAGCAGAGATCCCAGGTACGCAGAGTCAGTCCTGGGAAGCCAGCAGTTGCAGAAACGCCTGCACAGGGGCAGAAAGTTCCATGCTCCGAGGATGATGAGGGAAGGAAGGTGAGGAAGAGGTCTGGCTAATTGCAGTACTGCCTCTTTCTCTTTTTCCTTAACACCCTAGATCACAGTTGGAGCAACATTCCCCTCACCAAGCTCCCACAAAAGCCTCTTAACCCCGTAACAGGCCGAGAGATGCAGTGTGCCTTCTATCAGTAGCACAGCCACTGAAGTTACATCACCAATCACAACTCAGTTGTTCCTTGATTTGGCAATACTCACTTGTCATTTAGGAATATCCACCTCAAAGTGCTTAAATTCCGAGTCTAGGATGACAGCTATATTAGTTGCACAGCCAAGTGCCAGAGTCCATCTGCTTATCTCTATTGTAATGAGACAGCATTAATGTCATAAGATTTCTGTAAGACTTTTTTTTTTTTTTTTACTTGCTTGGAATTTTTAAGTGATGTGGGGAACAAAAACTCTTGATAAGGTGATTCCTCATTTCCATCTACTGTAATTGTAATTAAAAAACCAATGCAATCCTAACTTTCCCTTTAAAATGACAGATTTTGAGCTATCAAAACTCAGGAAGACAGTTCTCGAACTATACTAAAGAGCTTCATAGATGTATTAAATGTTTTACTTCCAGTAAGCACTGAGCTAAACAGAACACAAGGCATTATCAGGAAGTTGGAAACTACAAAACTGAAGTATTCTTACACCAGTGTATATATCCATGGCATGTCTGCATCTCAAATGCAGAGAAAGATATGATTCCCTTCCCCGTTCAAAAGCAGAACAGCTAACTGGAAAAGATCCAGAAACAGATAATAAGCATGAACAGAGATGTGGAGGGCTACAACCCATGAAGTAAACAAGACTTCGGCTCTTCAGCCTACAAGAAGACGCAACCGAAGAGCGAATACAGTAGAAATCTAAAGTCACAAGTGGCATAGGGAAGAGGAGTACTATGGTTTTCACAACACAATAGCCAGAAATCAACAAATTACCTGAAGGCAGGCTTGACAAAACCCACACATGCACCCCCCCCAAACAAAAGCAGATGTTTCAGTTCTTCACAGAAGATTTAGTTACTGTGAGGAGGAACTTACTTCCAAATATCACGGACGCTAACCGTTTACTCAGATTTCAACAGCAGCCAGCTCTTAGAAGGCAAATTCATCAAGGGTTATTAAGCAGAAAAGTATTCCCTGGGCCGAGGCAGTCCCTGAAACTGCCAGAAAGCAGGAGAGCGCAGGGAAGGGAGTGTCACCCTGCTCGCCTGACCTCCCTCTGCCCCCCGGGTCCAGCCCGGGACAGAGCGCCAGGGCTCCGTCCCTCTGAGCTGACCGCGCAGGTTCTCCCCTCCACTAAACGGTACCTTCAAAAGCAATACAGCGAGACGCCGCCGAGCCGGAGCAAGACCACGCGCT